TTAGTCAAACGTATATTCGTATAATAATAATAATAATACTAATAAAGTTTATTTTTTATATTAGCTTTTAGTTTAATATATATTGTAAATAGAAATACAAAATATTTAAGAATATTTATTTTTTAAAATTACAAAGAAAAATGTCGGAAGGAAATAAATAGCAAATTTATCGGAAATAATCACTTTATTTAAGTACACACTTATTAAACTCTTTTTAAAATTATTAACAATTTTTATTTTACAATCAATTTCTTATATATACAATATATATGTATTGACCGGAACAGTGACTCCAAAATTATGGCCAATTATTGTCAATTTCCTTATGATTTCTTAAATTGATTTCACTTTTTTATCTGTTATTATTATTATTATTATTTACTGTACTTATATTTTGATTAAAATAATTAATATATTTAACAATTTTTTTTCAATAATATATTTTTTAAAAACATATTGTATTATCGGCAGATTTATAAGCTAATAAACATTTTACAGTAGCTTATAGATAGCTATAAAATTTTATTATATTATTATATATTGTAACTTTAATTTTTTATTAATTTTTAAATTTATTGTTTTAGTTTTTAAGAAAACAAATCTATAAAATGTTTTACAAATGGATAAGTATTTATTGTTATTTTTCAATGTCATAATAAATAACTGTATAATTTAAAAACACTTATTTAATATAACTAATATAATAAATAAAAATGACATAAAATATTTTGTTGGTAGATTAAAATATAAAACTATTGTATTATCTAAATTGATTAACTCATAAGTATAATATATTTTATTATTAAAAACAATAACAAGATTTATTAATGTCGTCAAAATTGATAAATCATTTGAAAATTAATTGTTTGAGCACTAAATTATTGGCAGCAATTTGAAGTCAATAAATTTGACGATCAGATGATGTCATCACTAAAATTTTGTGAGAAAGAGAAACTTTTAACTTGAATTCAAACACAGCTAAACATATACCAGTAGTATATTATATAACTATTTATATAACAAAAAAAGTACAGTATATACAGTATATAACTTACTGTATAGTATATATCTTACTGAATATAAAGTACAGTATATTTATATATAAATATAAGAGATTTTAATGGAGGAGAATATGTTTGGATTCGTTGCCATTTCCTCTGTTTTCCTGCAAAAGCGAACCCGAATTTCCTGTTAAGTCATACTAAATGACGAGCTGTCCGTCCAAACCATAGACATCCCAGTTCTACCAGTGCTCTACTGTTAAACAATTGTTATAAATGATTAAATATATAATATTTTTTGCCCTCCATAAATCTACTAGATAATTTACTTTAAGCACATAAGTTTATATTATATAACTATATACAATATGATATATCAGGGCAAACAATTTAATAATTGATAATAAAAATGATGGCAATCATTGGACTAAAATTGATATATCATAGCATTTACTGTAAATTTACTATCTAAGCAATTAATCAGATAAAAAATAATTTTGTTGAGAAAATTGCTTTATAAATTGATTTATGATATCAAAAACTAAATTATAACATAATAATATCTAAAATAAATTATGATCGCTTTACGAGACATTGATTATCAATTATAACCAAAATCGTTATATAAATAAATCAAAAACTATTTGAAACATTAAGAAAATATAAATATATAAGTTTTGGTCAAACTATTAGCATGTTTTGGTCAAAGCATTGTATTATTGTTCAATATATGCTTATTAAGTATGGATAATGCAATATAAAAACTTTAGATATTAATTAACAAATACTAATTATAACAGTATTATGTATTAATATTATATACGGTATATTGCAAATTGCAAAAAAAATCGCATCGATTATATATACAGTATATAGACATTATTATAAAACAGTTGTTATTAAATAATTTCAGTTTTTATGATAAATAAAATTATATACATTATCTTAAATGAATTTATCTAAAATATGGTATATGTCTCACAATATAAGATAATTTTGATAATTTAGTTTTACTCAAAACTTATTAACAGTTCGCATAACTGATAAACTGTAATACTGTATAATATAACAGTGTATTTTATAGTGTATAACACTGTTTATATACTGTACTATTAATATTATAGAATATATAGCATTATATCAGAGTTAAGTAATGTTTAGATTATAGGGGAGTAAAGGGTGGGGTAAAAAACAAAAATAACAAAATAGTATTTTGGAGAGAATTGGGTGGAATACAAACATTTATTGTATTATTAAACAACAATTTTTCAAAAATTAACAAATTCTAAGGAGAAGTAAAGTAAAGTAAAATTCCCTATAGATTTCCAAAAATTTCCAGAAAAAAATTAATTATAAGGAAAATAAGAAAATATTTTCAATTTAAGTTCCATCATATCCTGGAATATTTCCTTAGATTGATAAAAATTAATCATTTTTAACTAAAATATTAAGAATAAAAAATAATTTTAAAAATTAAATTAAAAATAATTAACAAAACATTAATATATTCAGTATATTTTATACTCATAATTTTAATTAATTTAAAAGCATATTTTATTTGCAATATAATTATTATTATTTATACAAATAGTTTATTTTTAACTTTTTAGTCACACAATTTTTATTATAGTAATGATTTGTTGTGATGATATCGTTATTTTAATTCTTTTACTTTTAGTCAATAATTTTGTTTAAATATATTATAATTATATAATAAAAAATAATTAGCAATTATTTTTATAAAATTTTGATTTTAAAATATAAATTTAGAGATAATGTGTTGATTTCTCTACATTTCAGAATACATTTAAATTTTTGCAAAAAGTCTAATAAGTATAATAAGATAATTTTTGCCTCAATCGGGGATTAAATGCCTTCACCATACTCTAACCTCTTTGCTTAACCCTGATATATATTGTATACAGTATATACTGTATATATACAGTATATACTGTATATATACAGTATATATATTACATATACAGTATATATATTACATATACAGTATATGCTATTTATTAAAATATACTCAAAGCTTAGTCATAGCTTATAATAAATTATTATATATAATTTTTAGTATAAATAATAATTAAGTAGAAATTTATCATTAAATATTTACTTTTTATAATACTGTAGTATCCAATTAAATAGATTTATTTATTTTTTATTTAAGTTTCAATTCACTGAAAATAGACTAAAAATAAGTTTTTTTTATATGAACTGAATATTGTATTTATCAATAACTCGATTCTCGGAAATCATTGAAACTGACATTACATTGAATTGCAATTTAAGTGCAAAAAAAGTACTGCTTATGAATAGTTAATTGCATAACAAATTATTTTTTAGCTAACAATTATCGGTTAACTGTCGACTCAAATAAAGTATTGTTTCGCTAGAAATTTAATTTTTATTTTATTTATAATACTGTATATCAATTTAATGTCAATAAATAAAACAAAAGTTATTTTAATTGTTTTTATAAATAAAAAATACTCTGACACCTTTTATAAATCAATAATATTCACATTTCAATTAATAAAAACTGAATCATTCATTATTACAATTGAAAATAACTTTAACTTTACAATAAAAATATTAATATAAAATATAATATCATCGTATATTAATTTATGTTTGACTCATTGTAGTAATATATCATTCAATAAAACTAAATGATAAAATAATACAGTATTATTACTGTATAAGGTATTGCAGGTATTTAGTATTAATATATTTTTATATTAATATATAATAATATAAATTGTATACTCAATTGTTATCACTTAAAGTAAAAACTAAACCCAAATAATCTATTGCTAACAATAATTATTGATTTAATCCTTTCCTGTGTTTTGTTAACTATTTTTATGATATATGATATTATATATGACATACATTACGATATTTCATAAATTACAGTATTTAGTCTCAATTGCGTAAATTAATTACAAAAAAAACTTTTCGATGATATGCGATATTTTAGACATATTTTAATAAAAAAAATGATTATATAATCATTTAGCAATAATTTCAATTAGTTATCAAATATTTCATAAAAATTATTTTATCAAATATTTTCATAAAATTATTTTATCAAATATTTTCATAAAATTATTTTATTAAATATACTTTTTTAAAACAAAATATTGTAGAATATTCGTGAATAAAATGATAAAATAAATTATTTATAGAATAAATAAATAAATGGTTTGGATATGTATTTTATAAAGCAATTAAAATTAATTGACAATTACTAATGTAAGTGATTATGAAATGTTGAAAAATGTTATTCAGAAAAATGTTTTGTCTATTATTTCACATCCTTTTTAATGTTTAATGAATTATCGACTAATTTATGTCAACATACAGTACTTATTATTTTTATAACAATTTGTTATTTTTAATAAAAAGATATTTTATATTATCTACAGTTTATACATCTGTATTATTTTAATGGTTTTTTAAAAATTGCAAAACATTTTTTAATAACTTATATACTAAATGATTGTGTAATATAAAAATAGTTATTTATATTAATTTTTAAAATATATATACAATATTACGAAATATATTAACAATAAAAACTTATATTCAATTATATAAACGGTTACACAAATACAGTACAAGTACTATAATATAATATACGGTATATTCAGTAATAACTGGTATATGTTTACTGAATGAATGGTATTTTTTATATGAATGGCTTACAAATTGATTGATAAAATAGTCAGTAGTTTATAGTTTAGGAAAAGATAGAGATTTTTGTTGTATTGTTGTTGTTGTCAACACATGAGCGCATCATCCCATCCATCCATCCATCCATTCAATCAATCAATAATACATTGAATAGCAATACATAGAGTAGTTGTGTATTACTGTACTGTATATATAGTAATGTAATGATAATACAGTGTATAATACAGTATAATATCCATACATAGCATCTCTGATTCATTGATGAAAGCGATTCATTCAATGAATGTATGTTTAGTTGTGAGCGCTCTCTATGTGTGTCTCATTGAGGCCTATAGTGAGTGGCATTGAGTGTTGTTTGTGGTGTGTGTGGAGTGAATGCATTGAATGTATTGAATGTATGTATAGTTTGAATGTATGGTTGAATTAGTTGTGTGTATAGTGTGTGACATATGCTATGTATATGTCGTACGTGTTATGCATTTGTTGTTGATTTCCACGAATTACATGTCATTGTATTGACGCTCATTGTGTCCGCACTGTTAGTCACCGTAAAGACTGACCAAACACTAGACATACATACAAACCAATCACAGACCCGACACTGTGGCCAATGCTCTAGACATCTGTTGTGCCGTCAGTGCAATCCTGTCCATCACTTGTTGTGGTCTTAAGCAAAATGGAGGCCGAGTTTGACGACTACGACAAACACAACAAATGGCATCATATCTATCAGGTATGACATCTGACACTATTGTCATCAATTGATCCATTAATTTGTCGACATGTTGTTGAACCCAGAAAATACATGAAGAGTCACTCGACGACCGATTGTTGAACAAAGAGAGCCGAAAATCGGAGAACAAGTCATTGAATCGATATAAAGACGTTACTCCTTGTATGACACGATTTTGTTTAGTGATTATCACCAAAAAAACTGATTGATTTGTATTATATTGACTTACAGACGATTGGAGTCGCATTGTCTTAAAACGAAGTGATAATAACTACATTAATGCCAGTCTTATAAAAGTAGAGTCCGCGCAAAGACAGTATATACTAACACAGGTTTGTCAATACAAATAATGTTAAACAAAGATCTCATTTATTGATTAATTGTTTTATTATTTGATTATAGGGTCCGTTGGCTCAAACGAGTGGCCATTTTTGGCTAATGATATGGGAACAGAACTCGTCGGCGGTTTTAATGTTGAACCGATTGGTCGAAAGAGGTCAGATTAAGTGCCATAAATACTGGCCAAACGGTAAAGAAGATGACGATTGCGATGAGCTTACATTTACTGACGTCAACCTCAAAGTGGCGTTCATTGAAGAGACAAAGTCTCGCAATTATATAATAAGAAAATTTTTATTGACTGATCTGGAGGTTTGCCAACTCTTATAACAAATATAAACATAAATTGATTGAATGATTTGCTAATTGTTTTTCCTTTTTTTAAAAATTGATTTGTTTGTTGGCATCTGTTTTGTCTAATGTTTAGAGTCAACAGTCTCGTGAAATATTTCACTTTCACTACACGTCTTGGCCCGACTTTGGTCTTCCAGAAAGTCCGGCGTCTTTTCTCGAATATTTATATGCCGTTCGCGGATCAGGAGCTTTAGATTTAAAAGATTACGGACCGCCTGTTATACACTGTAGTGCTGGTATCGGTCGCTCGGGAACATTATGTCTTGTCGACTCATGTCTTGTTATGGTATGGTTTGACACGTTTTTATGTTTATAATTAGATGTAATTTAAATGATTTTTCCTTATAATAGATCGAAAAGTACGGTCGAACTGATTCGGTTAATCTAATAGACATACTATTAGATATGAGAAAATACCGAAAGGGCTTAATCCAGACTCCGGAACAGTTGAGGTTCTCATATTTAGCCATAATTGAGGGCTCAAAACAGTATTGTCTAAATCAAGCCAACGACTCTTCAGTGCCTTTTAGTGCTAATAATAATTCATATATAAGTAAAGCGATATCACCAAAGATACATCGATCATTCGGCTTTACCGAAGACCATAATCCCGATGAGTTCCCATTTGATGACTTAGGCGTCAATCACTATAAATTGGATAAAACCGGAGACATTAGTGACATGTGTTCGCAACCATTGCCACCTTTGCCACCACGTCTTCGTCGATCTGTAAGCACTACATCACAACAATCTGGTTCGACATCACCAGAACCGGACTCAAAGAGAAGCAAATGCGATACATTCTCATCCGTCCCTAAAGATATGATCTCAAGTGAAGACTCAGCCAATCATTCAGAGCTAATGAACAACAATATAAATAATTCAAACAACAGTTGTCAACAACAAGAGCTACGACAACGAGTGCGCGATGAGAAGCGCCGCAAAACTACGGAGACTATTGACAGAATTAAACGCAAACAAAGGGAATCGGAAGACAGGTCTCGTCTTAAAAACCTTTATCTTAAATATAGTTTGATTTCAATGGGTTTTGTTATGTTGTTTGGAACCGGAGTTTACATATATAGCTCTTTAATGAAGGGAGAGATTACACTCAATTCTGATACCATTACGCCAAATGTTGACGAATTGTAAATTATATAATACTATATAATTATAATTAATTATTATTATATTATCAAACGAATGCCATATTTTATGTCTCGTAAAAGAAATTAAGTTTCATATATATTATATTTATATATAAATATATGTATATTTAGTTTATATATCTCTTCATTGACTCTCAGTTTAATTATAATAATAGTATAATTTTATTATTATTATTAAGTTAAATGTATTTTTTAAGACCCATGAAAACAGTTTCTGATAGTATCTTGAAATTCGTTTTCTTTACATTTTAGGTGTTCATCCAAAAGACGTTTAAATTAGATTTGGAACTGATTTTAATTGAAATATATTTAATTTCATGAATATATATATATATTATCATATATTTTATTCTCAATTGTGTTTCATTTGATGTTGTCATCGCATACATTGATAAAATAAAAACTTAATTTAAGTTCATTATACATTATTTTTGTTTTATTTATTTTTTATTTTACCATGGTAATGCTATGTAATTTAGTTTTACCCATCACATATTACCTATACGTTTTGTTGAAAAATAATTACAAGTACCGTATGTATCGTTAATGCATATATTATTATAATGATTATATAGTATATAATATATACAGTACTGTACTAGGTAAGTTACATTGTTTAATTACATTTTATTTGCAATTATGCAATCAAATTTATACAATATACAGGTATTAATATTTAACAAACTTATTTATAGATTTATCATTTTATAAATATAATTATAGTTTCAATTAAATAAAGTGTAAATTATAACAACACAAAAAATAACAACTCAAATAAATTGAAAGTAAATGTATAATAAATAATATAGATATAGATATACAGTAGTAATGTTAAATAGTAGTGACAAAATCAATTGAGATTAGCGGCCGGATTGTCGGGTATTAATGATGTGAACAAAGAAGAGACAACAACCCAAACAAATCTCAAACCACTAAATCTTTCTTCAGTAACTCTTTCGTCATTAATAATAGAATTGTTAGTCAATTGTTGTCGCTGTCTATCCAATACTTCGGTGTCATCTGCAACCACTTCTTCATTTGGGAGCTGTTCTTCATTATTATTATTATTGTTATTAATATTATTATTGTTGTTGTTGTTGTTATTATTAACATTATTATTATTGTTATTATTGGCCACATTTGGTTGTTGTCGGTTATTATTTCTGTTACGATTAAACCAATTGGTTTGATATAAATACAAGAGAACCGATAAAAAGATGACTAATAAGAATCGAGTGAAAGACGAATAGAAATAAATAATGCTAAACAAGACAACTGCGCGACTCATCCAATAGAAACAGTCCAACCAATCTCTGTTGCGGCCCTCGTCGTCATCATCTATAACCGCTTGACCTCCCGGTCCAGCATTCATACGTTGAACTTGAGGTGCTTGTGGTGGTGCAAGCGCTCCATTAGCTACTACTTCGGGCGCTGCTTGTGGTGCAGCCATTGGAGGAGTCATCGGTGGGATATTATTTTGTAACATATTGTTATTATAGAAACTTTGATTAATATATGGATTTTGTGCCATATATTGTGCCATATATTGGGCGTATGCCTGTTGAACGTATGACATTTGTTGCCATAACTGATCCGGTGGTATCATTGCATTGGCATTTGTCAACATATTTGGTGAGAATTGTCCATTAAATGCATTGTTTAAATTGTTTGAATTAGTTTGACTGTTGTTTGAATTATTTTGATCACTATTATTGGCATCCATTGTATTTGAATTGTTGGCAATACTACTGTTGTGATTTGTTTTAGTAGATGAGTTGGTCTCGTTTGGTGACTGAGCGCATACCAAATGTATGGTAAACGTGTGGTTGTCTTCTATTGAATCAATTGGTTGCAGTATTTCACGCAAAGTTTGTTGATTGTTGAGTAAGTGTCCGGAATAGATAAGTCTCTGGTCTTCAATACGCTATTAAAAGATAAAAATCACTTAATATATTAGACATGTGATCCTAACTTATATCCACTGTTATATCATAACCGTTACTATAGTATTATCAAAGTCATATCACATCTACTTTTACTTATTGATTACTTGTTATTAATATTAACAAAAAACAACATATAATGGTTATTACATATACTTCTATATTATTTATGTTATATTAAATGAAATGCTTAATAAAAAAATAAAATGACTCACAAAACAATATATATTATAAATTATAACTTATAAAAGTAATTGTTATATTAATATTTAGTACTATAAGCCTATAAATGTTTTGAATATAAAAATTTCAGTAAACTATTAAACTATTGATTTACCTAATATTTGATATTTTTTAGAATATATACTGATAATAGACAAAAACTGTATATTGAAATAATTTAACATAAGTTAATGCATGCAATAAATGAAAAATTTTACATTTAATGTTAAACTATTAAAAAAAACTTGTTAAGGAAATTAAATTGAAAATAATTAACTAAAATAATATCATAACGAGAGTTAGCGTCACAAGCAATAACATAATTAAACATATTTTTAAATCACAATTATTCAGATGTTTTCACTAATTATGAAACAATTATATAAAACGCTAATTATGTTTACATAAAACATCAAACATATTCATTCATTAACTATAATAAAATGTTAAATCATATGATATGATACACTTTAAGAATAGGTTTAAATACGGTATCAATTAAATTGTGGTCAAAATCAGTTATTTGATAACATACTGGTTTAGTTGGATATACTGAAGATATATGTGCTTTCAATGCACTCACTGTCCAATCGATATCACAGGTCACAGTCTGATCCACCAGTTTCTGGTTCGGCGCTTTGATTATCACTTTAATAGATCCCATGACTTGTTTGGTTTGTTTTGCAGTAAACTATACACAAAAAACACAAATAAATACAATTAAATAAATTACAAAAATATAATTTGATATCCAATTGATTGCAATCATCGATATCTCAAATAACAGTCAAATATATTAAACTGAAGGTCACTGTCGATGGCTTACCTAATGGTAGACTCAATCCAATCAATGGGTTAGTTATTGTTAGACAAATCAAATCAAATGACTGATACTTAAGACAATCAAAATTAAATATTTAATTTGGTTTTGTTTTTAATATTAATAAAACAATTAATTAAATATGAGTTCAATAGTGTATATGAAATGACAACTGATTTGATTGAATGTAAAAACAATCAGACATTCAATTACTGTAAACATTGGTTACAAGCCTTACAATATATACCATATATTATTACACACTATATATAACGTTATTAATATAAATAATTAAATTAATTAAATTAATTAAGTATATGATTATTATATTTTTAAATAGTTATATAAACAAAATAATTATAATATCGTAAATAAATGATTCAAATGAAAAATGTATATTAAATGATATATACTGTATGTAGTAATGGGTGGTCACATTCAAGTCATAGTAAACGTGTATTTGTATGGACTTGAGTTGTGTCGCTATCCTATTGGCTAACGATTACAACACTATATAATAGTTTAATGCAATTGTTATTGAATTTACTAACAATTATAGTGATAATGATTTGACTTTACATTAATTTACTAATAAAACTAATATTAAATTATGACATATCCTTACTATTTATTGCTATTGTGTCTAAAAAAAGATATATATTGTCTATTGATAATAAAAATCAATTAAAAATAGCAATTATTGTAAAACTAACTGTACTTTCAAATTAAAACTTTTAATGTTAGGCCAATTTTTTACGATAATTGTTTTAAAAATATTAAAAGATTATAATTTATTTAATTTTTTATTATCCAATTAATAGAGAAGAGAGGGAAAGTCCCTTTAAGTCTATGATTAATATTTTTTAATTAAAATAATTTTATTTATTATATTGTATATATGTATATTAAATATTAATACATTTATTTATACAATATTATACAATAGAAAGTTTTTATCTCATTTTATTTCATTTAAAGTTATGTCAAATGCGACAAAATTAATCAATTTCTATAAAATTTCGAAATACAATATAAATACTAGTATTAGATAGTATTGTAATTAATAATTAAACCTTTTTTTCAATACACAAGTTTACTGACTATTATATAGCAAATTAAATAAATAATAATAAATGCATTAATTGGCGACCTTTTAGTTGAAAACTTGTTACTAAACTAATAACAACAACAAAAAGTTTTTTTTTTCTGTCGACAGTCGACCCCATTATAGATATTAACTGATTATATGATGAACTTTTCAATTATGATTTTTGAATTATTTTTATTAAAAACAAATTGAAAATTAGACGCCAATTGCCGATCGTTTATATTTATACAGTATTTGTCAAATAAATAGACAAATTGTTAACTTAATTATAGAAACAAATTTTATCATTAGATTAAAAAAATACTGTAAAGTATATGTATTATGTGATCGTATAGTATTAATGACAACAATAATTGAAAATTATATGTGAAAAACTACATTGATCAAATATTTAATTTTCAACCAAAATGTTATTTATTTAATAAATCTATTTATGATTTATAAATAAAATCATATATTTTAAAAAACAAAAGTTTGATAGTTATTGTAATTGAATTAAATTTAATGTACAGTAATATCCACAGAAAAAAACTTGGGATTGGTTTGGATAATAACAGTGAAAACTATTGGTGTTTTCACATCTAATCAAATGAAATGCTAGTAAATGTGTGTAAATTATATATCATTTAATATAAACAATAAATAAATTGTTTGATTATATGATATATCAATTCAATTGATGCCATAATATTGAAACCTATTTATAAATATTGGAATCAATTGGACTAACAGTCGAATCTATTAATGGAAACAATTTGTTGTTATTATTATTATTGAGTCACTGATTGATGACATACAGTTAGACTGACCACCCAATTTATTAGTAAACCTGTATAATAGTATAAAATTATTATTTTCACCTGTATTTTCCTGTATATTAAATATTATATTCCTGTATGTTAACCTGTACTTAAATAACAATATATTCGTATATATTTATAATTTTAATTAATAAATTTAATTTAGATAATTTAATTATATAAAAAGTTGAAATTATTTTATATTGAACATGAACTATTTTAGAAATATTTATAAATTTTTTATATTTAAAAAAAATTGAAATATTTAAACTGTATATTAAAAATACAAGCAATTTTTTACTAACAAAACTTAATTCATAGTTATTTTATACTTTTATTAATCAATTAGTTTAACATATTTTAAAACTGTATATTTTATTATACAGGTTAGCCCTTTCCTGTCACCTGTATTAGACCCTTGATTCCTGTATAATACAGGCGGCACCTGTATGGGTGGTCAGTCTACATACAGTGTATGAATGAATGAGAGAGTGAGTGACTGTAATATGTATTGACTTTATATACCTTTATGTATGAATGTATTGACTCTGAAAACACTGTTTATTGTTGTCTCACAACAGCTGACATACAGACAGACAGTCAGTCCATTGAATTGAATCTCATTTTTTGTTTTGTTTTGTTATTTACTATATTTACGACTAATTGTTATTATAATAAACAATTAGATTATTGTTATCTTCATTATGTCATTCAATAGATGACTTCAACTTTTCCAGTGATATATACAATCAATGATATGTCAGTTGACTTATGATAATTGTAATCTCCAATTGATCCCAAAGTTTTTAAGAGAAAAAATTTAGTCAACATTTGTGACTAAAAGGCATGTTGTGGTAAATCACAGACCAATTGCCAACAATGAGTGCCATATCATCACATTTACCATCAATTGAAGACAATCTATTGAATACACTGACCCTTTTGGACGACGATCTAATCGGTGATCACTTGTCGTCTCAATTGGAGTCCAGCGTATCATTGGATCTTCGGCTCAACCATCAGACCACTAATAATGACGGTCTAAATGAAGACAACGAAAACAATGGCTTTAATAAGTACACAAAACACGAGTCTCAGTCTCAAGAGTCTCATAGGAAGAGCAAATCTGTTCATATTTGGAGCGACGATATGATTGGAAGTGAGGCACCAAAGAAGTCACAATATAGAGTGACATTTGAGATAATATCTGCCAAAACAGTGACGAGTTTGTCGATCGGTTCCAACCGAAAGAAGTACGTGTGTTATACTATTTTAGTGAAGAGAGTTCCCGGTTTGGAGACGAGTCCGGCGCTCATCGAAAGGCGTTACTCTGATTTTCTTCATTTGTATCAATCATTGCGCAAATGCTTCCCAAGACTTTTGACAGATTTTCCATTTCCGAAGAAGACATTAGTCGGTAATTTTACTCCAGAAGTTATCACCGAAAGATCTGTTGCTTTTCAACATTTGTTGACATATTGTCTTAGTATACGTGAGTTAAGGATAACTCAAGAGTTTGCAGAATTTCTATACTATCCGGAACTCAGAGACGCTCAACAAAAGCTTAAAGCTCTTCTGTTTGAAGACGTGTCCAATATTCTCGAAAACGTTTACTTCATTGAAGAGAAACTGTATCTTCACAGTCAGGAACCAACTAATCAATTACTTTATACATTATGTGTCTTAATTGGTTGTCTTAATGCTGTCGATAATACAACTGAAGCCCAAAAGTTTGCTGAGAAGGCGCTACACTTGATCTCAAATTATTCAGATTTCACGAATAATCAATTAATTGTGTCGTTAATTATTCTCGCACTAAGACTTCGATGGATTACTGGATCTGATAAGACATTGTTTGAGCAAAAATTGCTTGAATTCAAACTAAATGGCATTAATATTGAAAGACAGCCCACTCTTCTGGAAGTAATTCTCAGAAAGGATTTTTCCATTTTTGCCAAATAATTATTTTGTTATTTTTTATTGACATTTTGTTTATAATTAGTAAAACAAAACATTTTTTGATCAGATTTACTGATAACATGATTGTCATCTCAATAGTTATTTACTAATAATTATTTAGCAGAAAATCTATTCGTTAATAATAACATTTTAATACTTGTTTTTTCATAAGTTTACTGTTGCGTAATATTTAATATTATAACTTATTTAATAACTTTAATAACTTTCTTTATGATATATATATATATATATTTATTTATTGGCATAATATCCTTCCATTTACAGAACCATTTATTTGGGATAAAAATTGTTTATAATATTTTTTTTCTCATAATTTTGTAGTTTATTTACCTTTTAAAATGATTATATTTTTCAATTATAATTTTCTCTCTTTTTATGTTTTTTCTCTAAATATCTCGATTTTATTCTTTTATAATATCATATTATAAAATTCAAGTGAAAATTCAATATGCGGTCCGTTGAACACAATGTGGGAAAACACATGAGTTTTTTAAAAAATACAATTATATTTAAATTTTTGATGGTTTATAGCGATTACTTTTGACACTTTTTATGGAAAAATTTATTATTATAATTAAGTTTTTCTCTTTATATTGTTTTTCTCATTTTTCTAAAAAAGTAATGTTTTCTCAAATATTTTTTTTTGTTAACAACTATTTTATTTTATACTCATTTAATGAGTTTATAGTTAAACTGATAATTATATATTTTAAGTCATATTTAAATAAATTCATTTTAATTATAAACATAAAGAATTATGATTAAAATATTTAAAAATTTAATTTTAAAGTATCTTAAGTGAGCAAATAGTGAATAAACTATTGTATAACACTAAATATAATAATAATCATATATTTTAAGAAATTAACCATAAATTATATAACGAAAACAATTTATAATATAATAATATTAATTTAGATAATAAATGTTAAAAAATTATTACAATAATTTATTAACTATGAATTATTAATTATAAATAGTATTTTCAAAATAAATTTTAACTAAAGTTAATTATGAAATAGAAAATAATAATAAAAATACTTTTTTTAATATTTGAAATGTTTGATGAAAGTTATGATTAAAAAACTATTTTCAATTCAATGTTACGGCGAGTATTATCCCAGAAATGACACCAACTGTGACGACACCCAATATAACCCAAAGAACAATGAGATGTCCGCGACAACAGATATCATCAGAAATGGCTCCATAATTGTCACCAATTTTGACGGTATGTTGCGATGGAACGGGAGATGAAACTTTATAATGACTACGAAATGGTAGGGGCTCTGCATAGGCAGGAAATACCATTGAACGGGTTGGTGGCATGTGATGTGTTTTTGGTGACATCAATTGCATTTGTGATTGCATTGTCAGGTGATTTGGTGCCGAAAGAGCTGGTAGTGCTGAGTGTCCAACTGAGGTGTGCTGTTGTGAATAGTATACAGGCATTAGTGCACCACATGATGTGGGTTTGTTCTCAGGTATCGGTGCTAATATTGACAATCCATTGCCCGATATAGGTATACGTGTTTCACGAATATCACGAATGTCACGAATATCACCATAGGATCCAAAGCGACGGACATTATACTGTGTTTGAATTGTTGGATAAAACGGATGACAAGTGTGCATCAATAGTCCATTTCCGTGAACGGGACACATATCACCATTAATTGTCGTCGTTGTCATGGCTAATGCCGGCACACTTTTAGTTGATCTCAGAGTACCATTTCTGATGGCATGCATTGGAAATGAATAATCTCCAGAAATCATTGTATTTGTCATATGATTTCCAAATTTGTTTGCCACCATTTGTTGTCTTCTGTCTACTGTTAGAGCACTACTTGTGGTCACACGACTGATACAAATAAATACAACCAATTGATTAAACAATTGAATCAAATAATATGTTATTTGAAATTAAATACCTATTGGGTCTTCTCATGTGATGCCTAACCATTGGTACCTCTTCTCTGTCATCGGACGATGTGGTAGTGGCTGATGGAGATGATGGTCGTTGTGAACGATGTGCTGATGGCAGTCGATATTTAGGCTTATAGTCGACGACTGTTTGTACAGAAGGAGGCAATGGTTTTGAAAAGTTAAGACTTCGGTTATGCCATGCGATGGGTGTCCGACAAGTAGATTGAGATTGAGATGAGTCGGTCTTGTGTTCAACATATGAGTGATAATTATTGTTCATATGCGACGACTTCATTGTTTTGAAGACAAGAAAAATTACTTATTATTATTTGAAATCTTTTATTTTAAAAAACATCACTTTTGGTTGTGATATCACAACAACTATTGATTTGATATATTTATCATTGATTTGAAGTCAATCATAGATCTTGTAATTCATTATCAGTTTTTATGGAAATTAAAGCACAAAATACTTGTATATAACTTCTATAACCATTGATATGTGTCATTGAAATTAGTTTTTCAAAAAACTTTTTACAATCAAATACAATACTCCGTTGATATAACAAGTTATGTAATGATTTTTGTTATGATATAACTAAGTGACACTTTTATGACACTCTCTCAATACTAGTAGTTCCCAAACATATAAATCATTGGATATGAAGTGCTGGCAAATCATTAAGACTCTCGGCTCTGGAAGTCATAGAAAAGTATTACTTGTGTTGAAATAAGTTTTTGTTGTATAGTAAGAGCACAGGTATGTAATAACTGCAGTGTTGTGTGACATAACAGGTCGTTTGGTTGTTGTTGTTGTTGTGAGTCGTGATGACTAAAAACAAGATCCACTGGCAATGGTATATCCGTTGACGAAACAGCCCTAATGTTATACAAAATTATTATTAACTATAACTACAAGTTTTATAAATACATTGTGATTACTCTATACTACTACTATAGGCTATAGCAGCTGTATATTAGCTATTATGTAGTATTTGTGTGTAGTTTTGCTATTTGTTTCAGTCAATGACCCGCTCTTTCTCTCCACTCATAAACCATTTGTGTTTAGACTTTCCTATTGAAGGCCAGGTATATAATATATAATAGGACTTTACCTCTAATGCAGAAAACTTTTGAAAAGGACTGTGAAAAGGTGTGCTGTGTCTGTACTGAAACCTATTTAAGATAAAACCATTATCTGACTGTCCGTCCCATTCCCAGCACTTTAGACACACACAGCACTCATCCATTTGTAACGACTTGATTGTCAATCGAGGCTTTGCTTCAATAAATATATCAACAAATATATACTCTATTTATACTAAAATATATATGAAAACTGTTTACAAGTGTTTGACAGATAATCAAAGTGATGATCAAAAATTTTTTTAATCGCATTTGTTATGGTTTTATCAGATTTTTCTAACATTTCAACATTATATGCCAAAAAGTCATATAAACTACAATTATTGTTATAGAGTATGAATAAAAATTATAATAAAAAAACATTTTTCAATTTTTCAAAATTATTAAGTTTATAAAATATAAGCTATTAGCTTACTTTTTTAAAAAATACTTTAATATATAAAGATTGTATAATAACTTATATTAATAACTATTTCATGAAATTTCAAAATCTTTGAGAATATCATAAATTCCTTAAATGATGTTTTAATGATGACATGAATTAGATGTTAAATTTTATTTTTTAATAAAAAACTCAACCTTAAAACTCAATGCATTGTGTAGTAAAGCTGTGTCAATGTTTATTTTATCCTAATTATTATAATAAAAAAACTACTTTTGGTTATATTTAATTACCGTTTAATACTATTGCAATTGAAACAAATTGTCAATTAAAATCAGTAATATTTTAGGAAGGAATGAATCGTATTTATTTTTATCATTTTTATATACTAGAGTTGTTAAGAGTTTAAAAACAAATTAATAATAATTTAGTTTTTAAATTATTACATAATTAATCAAAAGTAAGTATTTTTACTCAAAAAAATTGTTATTACCTAGACTTGAACCCGGACACATTGGACATATTGATACAAATACTTTATCACTACATAGCATTAGGCTTTTCAATGTTAAAAAAGTTAAATTTAAATAAAATCACAAATAGAAGACCACCCAGTTCATATTGTCTATTCCAGTATATAAATTCCCTCATTAAGTAATAAACTAAAAAGTAACAAAATAAATGACATTAAATCAATACTTTTTTTTTTGTTGATTAACTTTGTTATCACTAGTTAATACATTAAATAGTTTTCAATTTTTACATTATAATTAAATTAACTATTTTAACTCTTAAACATTTTTTAAGTAGATAATTGTGAACTCTCTAATTTGATATATATATATATAGTAAATATTTAAAACTTACAGTAATGTATAACTTAAATTATATATTATATAGATAATATGTAAGTTTCGATTTTTTAATTAATTATAAACGGATAAATAGATAATAGCTTTTAATTTATTAATATTTAAAATATTATTATTATTATTAACAATTAAGGAATCTTAAATATAATTATATAATAAAACTATTTGTAAAATTACAGTATTTAAAAAATTTTACAATTTTATGAAACATTAGAATAATGATTAGAAAATAATAATTTTGTAATTAGTTTTCTGCATGATTTTGTATGATATTCCGGTATAATTATCATTTTAAACTCATTGAAAATTTTTGTTTAATTTTATTTAATATTTACTATAAAAAAAAGAAGTTTAACTAAACATTTAATGGTTCAATGAAACCATCAAATGTCAAGTGAAACGATTCCCATATAATGTTTTTTCAAAAAAAACTTTATAACTTTCGATTCAATTCACACTATATTACCATTATTTTTATAATTGATATGTTTGTTAAGTTTTGAATTAATTAATAATAATTATTTTAATTACTGTAAACACAGTGTTTTCAAAAGATATTAAAATTCATAGATACATGAAATAATGTAAATATTTTAATTAGTCATACAAAATATTTTGATTTTTTAAAAACTAAATTATAATTTTAAATAAGTTTTTTATGTAAAAATTATTAATTAAAGTTTGTCAAAATTGTATGTTTAATTAATTAATAGTTTATTTTTGCGATAAAAATAAAAATAAGTTGTTTTTCATTAACACAAACTTTTAACATTTTGAAACAAAGTGCATATTCAGTAAATTAGGTAACAATACATTTGAAAATATTATAAATTATAATTAATAAATAATTTGTTGTCACAAATGTCTTCAATAATTTTTTAAAAAGTTTTACAATTGATTGACTAATAACTTAATTAATTCAATAATTACTTGTTTGCTATATTCGGTTCACTAATCATTGCGAAAATATATTTGATTTAGGTTTTGTAATCTATGAATAGTTGAAAGAATCACCTGGATCAATTTTGTTATATAATATATTAACTATAATCACTAATTAATGTTTAAACTTTTAATTAAATAAATATTTTATTTTTTATGAATAATTAGTTTATTTCAATTGACTTTATAAATTTTTATGCAAATCTGAGAGTAAGCCCAACAAATAAACTAATGCTACAGTAATTTAGGTTATAGTTGGACATCACTTGACCAGTGGGTTGACATCTTTGTCATCTAAGTTAAAACAAATAACATAATATATATATATATAAAGTATTGTATAAATTTATATATATATATATGATTGTAAATACAATGGTTTCAATGTATTCAATACATTATTCAATATTAATAGACATATATTCAGTTAAAAATTAGTATTTTTATAATATATCAAATAGTGTATTGTATTGTAAAATTACTGTCAAATATTTGGTCCAACGAGAGCTCCATTTGAAAACATAAATTATTTCAAAAACTATAAATTATATTTTATTCAAACAAATAGTATTATAAAATTGATTAAATTATTATTTTGATAAATTTAATTTTCAAATTGCACACCGTTAATTGTAATAAAATGACAAAGTTGCAAACTGTATGCAATTGATTTATTTAACATATTGTTTATCCAAGCATTTATTATTGTTTAAATCAAAAACTTTAATTTAAAAAAATAAATAAATTACTATTTATTGTCAAGAATATAACTAGACATTATCGCTAAAATAAAAATAAAAAATGAATAATATGATTTATAAAAATGTGAAAAATATAAGTATTTTAAAATACTGTAATTTTAATTTATTGTAATTTAATTATAAATCATTTTCCGATGAATTTTTTTATGTTTAATAAACTTGGTTTTATATCAGTGATCTGATAATAATATATATTATTTTAACTAAAGATTGTGAACTTAGTAAACTTTTTGTTTAATTTAGTTAATGACACATATTTAAAAAAATTATTTTATAAAAATTATAATTTCCATTTTACTCTATTTTATAATATATTTTGTTTTACAATAAAATATAATTTTTAGTTTTTGAAATAATTGGTGTTTTTTTACGTTTAGAAATATTACCTAAAAATACTAAAATTTAATTTTTACTTTTATTCTGTAGTTTTCAAATAATTATTAGTTTTAATTTACTGAATGACTAATACATGTAAATAACATTTTTCTAACATAAGAGGATTAGATTGGATCAGATTGAGGTGATTGTATCACAATTAACAGTTTTATTATAATAAATATAATACAACAAAATTATCAATTAATTTGATCCCAAAAATGTTTAATTCAATTAAATTGAAATCAATTTCCAATTTAGCGCTTCCAGTGATGGCATTGCTGTACATAAAGTATGTGTTGAGTTGTAGTCAATGATAGTGAAGACAAACCAAACATCACATGAAGTGACGACATGTGAATCGACTGAACCGTTGATCCATTGAAGTGACAATCAATTTGAAGGACACAAAGACATGAAGATTGCTGTAATTGGTTGCTCTCACGGAGAGTTGGATATCATTTATGAGGACATCCGGGGTATAGAAGAGCGCCAAAAAACATGCATCGATTTAGTGATCATTTGCGGCGACTTTCAGGCCGTCCGTAACGAGTATGACCTCCAATGTATGGCAGTTCCCTTCAAATACAGACAATTGCAGACTTTTCACAAGTATTATAGCGGACAGTCGGTGGCGCCTAAACTGACTCTTTTTATCGGCGGTAATCACGAGGCCTCTAATTATCTGCAGACACTCGCGTACGGCGGTTGGGTGGCCGACAACATCTACTTTATGGGCTACGCGTCTGTTGTCCGCTTCAAAGGCCTCAGGATTGGCGGCATTTCGGGTATTCATAACAATAAACACACAAATAGTGGTCACTATGAGAGACTTCCGTACGATGAGGACACTAAAAGAAGTGCTTATCATATGAGACAATCTGATGTCTATAAACTCATGCAATTGAATGGTGGAAGTAATGACAATGAGAGCGAAATTAAACAATCATTGGATGTGATGATATCACACGACTGGCCATTAAACATTCACAGTTGCGGTGATGTCGATGGTTTACTAAGAAGGAAAAGACATTTTCTTCATGATATCCGAAACAATTGTTTGGGAAATCCATTACTGGAACCACTAATGCGACAGTTGAAACCAAAACAGTGGTTTTCAGCTCATCTTCACGTGAGGTTTGAGGCATTTATTAACTTCACTCCCGATATGTCAGTTCAGACCAGATTTTTAGCGCTGGACAAAGTGCTGCCTAAAAGACAGTATATGGAAATCATTGACATCGAGCCGACAGAACAGTCAGATAGTAATGACTTTGAATACGACGCCGAATGGCTGGCAATACTTCAGTCGACCAATAAGTTGATGAGTATTGATAAGAGGTGTTCAGTGCCATCACTTGTGATGAGTCGCCATTCAGTTAGTGAAAGTGATATTAATAAAGTGAAACAACTCTTTGATAATGATTTGAAAATACCGAAAAACTTTAAAATACAAGAACCGGCTCTTAACGGTTCCGACAACGATAGTGACCCACAAAGGATTCGCAATTATGTCAATTCACAAACTGTTGAATTTTGTAAAAAACTTGGTATAACTGATCCAATGTCTGCTATTATTGAGTCAATGAAACCTCTGCCAAATCCGGATCAGATTTCTATCAGTGATGATGAAGAAGATGATGAAGAAGAAGATAAAACTGATGAAAATCCACAAAAGCGTCACAAAGCAGATGAAACCATTGACGGCGGAGATCTGTTTTTTGTCGATAGAAAAGGAGGCGACAATCCTAAAGGTGTGAGTGAAGAGACCGTCAAATAAATTAACATTAGTTTTGTATAACTTTGAGAATAATTATGATTTATATAATAAATTGTATCATAAATATTAGGCACAGATTGACCTCAAAGTTAATAAATTAATAGAAAATAAAAATCATAATTCAAATGATATTATGACGGCTAACACAAGTGCTGACGGATTACTCACTAAAAGACAACAAAAGAGAAGAGCAGATAAAGTGAAGAAACAGACCAAACAAGTGGAGACATTGAATAAAATTAAGACAAACAACGAAACTAAGAATCAAATAAAAGACAACAATATTACGAAAAATAAGAAATTGAAAGATTTAAATGAAGATAAAATTGTAAAGAAAGAAATTAAAGCTATTATTGAAAGTAATGATAAAAGACGACAACTTATTATTGAAAGACTTGATTGGGTTAAAGCAAACCTCCCGATGAAAGATCCCGAAGTAGAGATCGAAGTCATCACTTTAGATGATCTCAACATTCAATGAATTTTTCTTTTTTTAAATATTGAGAATCAATTAAAAACAAAAATATAAAATAAATAATTTGTACAGTTTTTACTTATTGTTTTTGATTGAATTGTATAAAATCATTATTATATAAATTATATTAAAAAACCAAACATTAATTTCCTAATTTCAATTCTGCAAATTGTTTTGACAGTTGTATTGCCTCATCGATGGCACCGACATTAGTACCACTAGCTTGCGATGATTCCTCTTTTCCGCCACCCTTTCCATTAATAAGTTTAGTGATTTGTTGGACCCATTCGTTGGCCTTAAGACCCGATGATACGGCATTGGACGGAACAGATGCCAAACATATGATTTTAGAGTCGTCTTTACTGAAAAACATGGCCGCAGTCTCTGGTGATAGAGTTCTGATCTGACGCAGGGCTGAGTCGAGTGCTTTGGCATTGGATCCGCCGTCGAGTGCACTGACAATGAATTTGCTTCCATTGAGCTCTTCTGCTAATTGTTTAGCTTTTTCGACAACTTGTATGGCTTGAGCCGCTTTGTTTGCTCTGTCCACTGAATCCAATTGCTTCTTCATTTGGTTCAATTCATTTCTTATCTCATCCTTCTTCCAGTAAGCGATATTGGATTGCGAGACCTCTTCAGTAAGTTCTACTATTTGTTTAATATTTTCTTTATAAAACTCTTTGCCTGTTTTGCTATCGATTGACTTCTTTAAAGCTGCCACAGAGGTATCCAATAGTTTGGCTTTATTTATAGCTTTAGTGGCTTCGGGACCCGTTAATGCAATTATTCTTCGAATGCCTTTAGCAATAGCCTCTTCGCTCGATATAATAAAATCGCCGATATGTCCGCTTCGTTTCAAATGAGTTCCGCCACAAAATTCTATTGATGTTTGCATACCTGCCGATCCCATAGGATCAGCCAATAAATCATCGACTGATACTCCAATGGAAACAACTCTAACGGGATCGGGATATGTCTCATCAAAGACTGCACGCAATCCTTGAATAGCTTTGGCTGACGCTAGAGATGAGTCTTTTGCATAAACCACTTCATTCTTGGCTATCAATTGTTGGGAAATAGTTTCCGTTTGTTTCACTTGGGATACACTCATTGCTCCCTAAAATAAATAGTTAATTATAATAATAATTATAAATATATATATATAATAAAATGTAAATCTATGTTCACATACATTGTTAGTGAAATCAAATCTTAATTTATCCGAAGACACAAGTGATCCCTTTTGGTTAGACTCTGCACTCAATACAGATCTTAGAGCAAAGTTAAGAACATGAGTTCCCGTGTGGTTATTCATAATCAGTTTACGTCTTTGTTCATCGATTTGCAATTTGAATGTATCGCCAACGCGGACAACACCGCAACCAACTTTACCGATATGAATGACATATCCGCCGTGAACTTTAACTTCGCTCACTTCAAATTCAGTGTCTTCTTCATCGTCAGCAGTTGTTTTCAACATAAATCCGGTGTCATATTCCTGTCCACCAGATTCAGCATAAAAACTTGTTTTATCCAAAATGATTCCACAATCTTCACCACTGGACACTTCTTTGACAAATTGTTTATTTTTTCTAATTGCGACAATAGTTGCCTCGCATTTCGAAAATTCATAGACAGATTCGGGAGTTTCATCAACCGATCGGTAATCATATTTTGCTAAATCATTAGTGCTTTCAATCGATAAACTATCTCTTAGTTCAGCAATTGAATGGACATCTAAATCAATGCCAGAATCAAATTGTGAGGTTTTGTTTTGTGACTTCAATTGTGCTTCACTTTTGCAGTTCTCGTATCCATTTAAGTCAACTGAAAATCCTTTCTCTTCGACCATGAGTTGTGTTAAGTCAACCGGAAAGCCGTAAGTATCGTATAACCTCCAGGCAATGTCACCGGGAAGTACTGTTTTGTTTTGTGTTTTCATTTTGTCAATAGTACGCTCTAATAACCGTTTTCCACGCGAAAGAGTTTTCAAGAATTGAGTCTCCTCTTCGTTGATCACATTTACCACACTTTGCGGGTCTTTTTTAAGTTCAGGAAACTCGTCACCGAGCGATTCAATAACGACGGGAACAAGAGATGCAAACACTCCCGGTTTTCCGCCCAACTTTTCCACAAATCTAACGGCGCGTCTAAGTATTCTTCGTAAGACATAACCTCTACCAATATTATCAGGTCTGCCACCATCTGACAGAGCAATAGTTAGTGTACGCGCGTGATCTGCTACCACACGATAAGCCATGTCTAGACCATCTGTATCGTCAGCGCCAACTTTGCCGGTATAAGTTCGGACTCCAGTTAATTGTTGAATAGCATTGAAAAGTGGTTGAAATACGTCGGTATCATAATTAGATGACTTTTCTTGTATAACAGAAACTAATCTTTCGAAACCCATTCCTGTGTCGACATGTTTTTTAGGCAATGATTTGAGTGAACCATCACTTTCACGATTGAATTGTATGAACACAAGATTCCAGATTTCAATGACATCCGGATCGTCCATATTAACTAAATCGGCAGCATTTCTACCACCAATTCGGTCGAAGTGTATTTCAGAACAGGGACCACACGGACCTGTTTCGCCCATTTCCCAAAAATTATCTTTCATATCAAATGGCAGGACTCGATCCGCTGGCAAACCAATATCTAACCAAACCTGTCGACACTCTTCATCGGCCTCTAAACCACTTTCTTTATTTCCGCCAAAATATGTCACATAAAGTCTATCCTTATTGAGACCATAGACTTCGGTTAACAGTTCATAAGCCCACCGACAGATCTCTTTCTTAAAGTAATCACCAAAAGACCAATTGCCCAACATTTCGAAAAACGTGTGATGATATACATCTTTGCCGACATCATCTAAATCATTATGTTTACCACCGGCACGGATACACTTCTGACTGTTGACCACTCGTCGATATTTCGATGCATCGCTGTTTGGGTCAACAGTTCCCAAGAATATGGGCTTAAACTATGAAATATTTAATTTTAAAATCTTTTTATTCATATATGATATAACATATAATTAATAACTCTTAATAACAATCAATTGATGGCAGACCTGATTCATGCCGGCGTTTGCAAACAGAAGTGTCGGATCTTCATGTGGTATAACTGACGACGACTTCACAAACAAATGTTCGTATTTTTTGCCAAAAAAGTCTTTATATGTTTGACGGATAGACTGAGCGGTCAATGGCTTTGATGACATTATTGCGGATCAATTGACTGAATCGATATTAAATGAAACAATTTATTAATAACTTATCAGTTAATTAAATAAAAAACTTTTTTATAATAAGAAACAAATAAAACTTTAAAATTAATTGCAATAATATTATATAAATTGAACAAAAAGTTGTCTCAAAAATATCAATGAAATCAAACTAATAATAAAAATGTGATGAAATTTGTGGTAACTTTTCATAAGACATATGGTTTGCAATTCATAACAATTTTAATAATAATTGATTTGATATATAAAACATTAGATTACTTACAGCAATGACAACAGTGTTCAACAATTGGATTTCAAACGATAATGCAATGGTTTGACTGATAAGTCACTTATATGACGACCAATTGGATCAAATCAAGTGATAAAAAAACACAAACTAACAAATGAATTGTCAAATCAAATGTAATAACAATTGATATTTCAATGAAACGAAACACACGTTTTACTCATTCAATTCAATAGTGTTTACGTTTACACTATTTGTCATACAATTCATACACTATTATATCATACTTTACTTATAGTGTATATAAATAACGATTATTATTATACATGTATTTGTAATTAAAGTAACAATAAGTTTATTTACGGTAATACTATACTGTAGTAGAAATAATTTAAAGTTTAAAAAACGATTTATCAGTAAATGATCTTTTATTTTTATATTTATATAATCATAATTGAATAAATATTATATTTAATACAAAAACATTATTCAATATATAAGTGATATACAGTATTATAAATAATTTATTAATATATAAATAGAAAAACAGTAAATAATAATAAATATAAATTAAATAATTAAAAAGTTTTTTTTAATTAAACGATAAAATGTATAATAATATGTCATTTTTGTTGAACACTATTGTAATGTTCGCCTAAACTATAGGCATACCGAAGATAACTGCAAATAGAAAAGGTATTAAATAATTGTCTGAAAATGTTATCTAAAATGTTTGTGTCTTACCATACAATCAACGATTTACATCCTCTATAATCTGTGTCACCAATTAGTACAGGACTTCCTTCAGTTTGTATCACTTCAATTGCAATGCGAAAGATATGTGAAATAGCCCTCAGCTCTAACTGTCCGCCCCATGACTTAGTGGTTGCGATATCATTGCAATAACCGTCATATTCTTCGTCATTCATTAGGTCCCCCGTATTACTCGTGAGGAATGGTATATAATCTAATTTATTGGTTTTCATATAATCACAGGTTTTTTGCCTTAACTCCGAAACATTTGTTTTAATATTGTTGAGCGACAACTGATGTTCAATAGCTCTGTACATACAATCGCCATCAGATGGTATGTCATACATCACTAAACCTCTTGAGCTAAGAATATTCTTCAACTTATCTAATTCAATAAGTCGTTGATTCTCGGAGTCGTCGACCATATCCTCTGCAATCCTCTGCTGTTTTTGCTTTTCTTTCAAAGCTTTTGCATCTCTTCTTCGTTGAGCTTTCGATACCTTTGTCTCACTGTATTTGATTCCGTTATCAATTAAATCTGAGTCAACGTTGTTATCAATAATCTTTGTGTTAACTTTTATTTCTGTCAATTGATTCGTTAATCCATTGATTGTCTCATCATTTGTATTCAAATCACTTGAAGTCGTCGACAAACTTTTCAATTCATTTTCATGTCTTTTGGTCAACTCTTCTGTCATTAAAGTGATTTCATTCTTCAGTTCCTTTTGTTTCTTCTTATCTCCTTTTGGTGTCTTATGTTTCATATCTGTTATCTTTGCTATTGATATAAATAATGATTAATCAAATCCAAAGACATCGCAAATCATTTCCGAGACAAACCATTCAACTCTTTCTTTTCCAACCGATGTCTCTCAAGAAGTGCTTCTTTGGCGTCCAAATGAACTTTATTTTCATCCAATTCTTCGCTCATTTCTTTACCGATGATTTGAAACAAATTGAAAATTAAATTAACTAACAATTAATGTCTTCATAAATAATATAAATTATTGTAAAAACTCTTTCAAATGATTTTAATGTTTGGCTTTCAATAGTCAACACATGTATTGTATTTACAATGCGTTCATAATTTACGACAGTTTTAGTTATTATGAAATTAAAACAAATTGTATAACAAATAGAAATATTTTAAAAGTTTTGTCAATTTTTAGGGAAATCATTAATAAATTTAATTATTATATATTAAATTATTTTCAGAAAATTTTATAAAATATTTTAATAAAATATTTTCATTATATATAATTTTCATAGTATTTATGCAAATTTATGTTATTATTTTATAAAATTAAATATAAACTATTTATATAAAGTATAGTCATTTATACCGGTATACAGGTATATAAATTATATACAGTATATTATCAATGATAAACTTTATCATGTTAAACATTGTATACAGTATATCAAATATATTTTCATGTTAAAACAAATATAATTTATGATAAATGGATAATACAGTAAAATAATGTAATTTTAAAATTAAAAATATTGTATTTAACTTAATTTTGTATAATATTTTTATTTTTATATATATTTATATTAATTGATTAAATTGACAGGTATTGGTAAAATATTAGTGATTTAATGCGTCAATGATTTTAGTTTTTTATTGAATTTTAATTAAACTATATATGATAGACTAATAAAAATAATATACAGTATATTATAATTGGTATAATACTACGTACATATACTGTACATAACAAACAATTTATCAAACCTAATGTAAATATTTAATTTTGCTTGATTACTTTAGTAATTTTAAGTTTCTAAACACATGAAAATCGTAAAATTGATACTTATTTTAACAATAAATAAATAAATTTATAATTAATTAATTATTTTTAAAAAATTGAAATTTCCAATTAAAATGTAAAACATAAAACAAAAATGTCCTTGATTAATGACAAATTATGCCTTATTTGTGGTGATAAATCTACTGGTGAGCAAATTTAAATTAGTAATTATTAAAAAAAACTCATGCTTGAATATGATTTAAGTTTTTATAAAATTAAAATAATATACAGAGATATTACTTTTTTTTAATTAATTTATAAAATTAAATTTTATATTTAGGTTATCATTTTGGTGTCAAATCATGTGAATCATGTAAAATATTTTTTAGAAGAAACGCCAATAAATTGGTATAAAAATATTGTTATTTTAAATGTTATGGTTTTTTCTTAAATTAAATTTATTTTAAAATTAGGATGAATTCAACTGCTTTTTAGGCAACAATTGTGAAATTAATATTAAAAGCCGAAAATCGTGTACAAAATGTCGATTAACTAAATGTTTAGCTATGGGAATGAAAATTGTATGTTAAATGAATAATATTTAATTATTTATAAATTTAATTATTTATTTAAATAAAATGATGTTTTTAGAAATTAATATATTCAGAGCAACAAAAACAATACCGAAAATGTTTGGTTGAAGCAAACAGACAACAAAAATCACAATTTAGTGGACAATCAAAAAATGATTTGCCATTGGATTCATTGCAATCACATGAACTCAACTTAATTGTTAAAATTCAACCAAAATTTAACAAAACTAGTGATGAGATTGAAAATACTATTATTGATTGCAATGACCAACAAATTAATTCCCAGAATAACAATAACTATCAATCCCTGACTCCTTTATATAAAAATATCATTATTAATGATAATATTAAATTTAATTTAAATGAATTGGAGTCATTTAGATTAAATGAATTAATAAATGCTATGAAAAATCAAATTCCCAATATTAAGGAATTTAATGTACAGTTTATTGAAACAAACGTTTTTAAAATATTTAATCTAATATTAAAATATTTCGATAGAGAAATACGAAATTTAATTCAACTGTTAAAACAATTGACGTCATTTAACAATATCTGTGAATGGGATCAATTGATTTTAGTTAAATATGCTATTATTGAAATTTTTATCTTAAGAAACATTCATAGATTCAACTTTGATGGCCAATACTGGGTTTATGGTGATGTTAGTTAACATTAGTTATCAAATATTTTATATTATATGAATTAAAAAAATATATGTATTAAACTCATTGTTACTTTATTTTTATTAATATTAGGAAAGTAATTCATATATATTAAAACTTGAATATTTAAAGAATGTAGAAATTGAACCAAACATTCATCCATATGTTAATCACAAAAGTTTTCTTGAAAATATGGGACTCGATTGGGAATCTGATCCAGTGATCATCGATTTGGTCAGTTTTACTATCATTTTATTTTTAAATTAAAATAATATTAACATAATATCTAAATTAATACAATATAGTTAACCGTAATATTATTGTTTGATTCGAGGCGTCCAAAGATTATTCATAAAACTATGATTAAGTAAGTGATAGTAAATAAACAAAATTAGTAATTTAACTGTATTTTCTAAAAATTATTTATAAATTTTGATTCAATAGATTTCAACAAAATAGTTATATATATTTACTGCAAAAATATCTACAAATGAAATATCAATCGACAATATTATCTGAAAACAAATTATTTCGATTATTAAATAATTTAATTGATTTGAATATTCTTAACCAAAAAATTCCTATTCTTTACAAACAAAGACATATTCCTATATCGCCGACGCCTTTGATTTTGGAAATAATTGATAGGGATTGACATAAACGACTCAATTAGTCTACAAAATACTTATAATATATTCATTTATTTCATTTATCTAATTATTTGATTAATTTTCATTATTAACATTATTTTTTAAAATCTGTAATAATAGAAATAAAATGACATTAGAAAATCAATGAAAAAAATAATCGGAAATACATATGAAATAGAAATAGAAGTAAAAAAATCTTTTTGTTATAAAATACTGGATAAAGTTATAACTAAAAAAATAACTAAAGTCTAAACTGCAAGATATGTTATCTATTTTTAACAATTGGTTTGATGAAAATGTAAGCATCACTTAAAGTCAAAATATATTTAACTCAACTTTACCGGTAAGTTATATACAGTATTGCAATAACAAGAAAAAAATGTGAATCGTTTTTCATATGATTGAAACTCATTGATATCATAGTAAGAGATGAGATTAAAAAAAATCGTTAGTCAAACAAACAAAAAACATCAATCATTTGAAACCAATTTATGACCCAAAAAAAAGTGATGATAACTGTGATCGACAAGTCATCAACATTTATTAGCAACATTTTTAACATAATATACCATATATTATATCATATACAGTATATTAGTTATATTAATGTATTAAGTTATTTGATATAAACTTTTTTGATCTTTTTAGTAAATGATTTATCATAAACTATGATCCTATAGTTCAATCAATTTTATTTTAGCAAATATACCATGCGCATTCATTATTATTATAGAATCTTATTAATTGAATTATCATGTTTTTTATATAAATACTTATTTGTTTATCTAAAGTAATGTTTATCAAAAATCTATTATCCAATTCATTAAAATTATATCTAATTTATTAATGCGATTATCTGTTATTTCAATTCACTTTAAACGAAATGCTGAAATTCTTAGTTAAAATTATAACTAAATCTAACAAAAATGAGTAAATTATAACTTTAGATATATTAACATATTATGTTAAATCATTATCAAATAAATACCAGTAAAGTTTTATCAATTAACACCATTTACCTAAATTTTGTTTTTTATTTTTGGCAATTTACCCGAAATTACGAATTTCCTATATTTTATTATACTTTAAAATCTCTTTTACTTTTAAATATTTTGTTTGTTATATAATGATACAGTATATTCATATATATATTCATATATATATATATATCACATCCTTTATTCCTTATCTTATATCCTTTATAGAAGTTTAAAAGTTAATAAAAATATATAAACTTAAATATACAAAAACGTTTTCTTGGTTATTACTAAAATACTATTTATTATGGAAATCTATATATAGTTATTATTTATAATACAATACATATACTTAGCAAATAATTATTAAATTATAAATTTTAAACTTAAAATAAATAATACATATATAACTGAAACAACATTAATTAAATTCCTAATTTTTATATATCTTTAATATGTTTTTAGTTCCCAAAATTTGTTAGTATAGTTATAACATAGAAATTAAAATGAGTGATAAAACTCGTATCAATAATACATTATGTTATGAGTAGTGGTAATCAAAATGCAATCATAGATATGATTTGAATACGAAATCCGATGACAAACAAGTTGTCCATTAAATTGTTAGTTAAATAATTGTCTGCAAATGTTATACAATAATTGCTATACATTTCGTAATACTGACTCTCTATTACATCATTCAATGTATTGAATGACAAACAGAGACATCGCGTGTCGATCGCTATCATCGCTGGGTATTAACACTAATGGTTGTCATCGATGATCATCACTGATGGCAGCACTTGTGGTGACACTGTTTGTGGAGAAACAAATGGATCACTGATTTGAATGACTGAATGAATGCCTGCAATGATGTCATCCATTATTGTAATAAAAGCACACATTTGTGACAATCAATGAATTAATTGAATACTTATTAAAAGACAACCAAAACATAACAAATCAGTTAAACAAACATTTTATACGAAATAATCATTTGTTTGATAATTTAGTTGTAGTTTAGTTGTGAAAGACTTTGCAATACAAATATGGAAGAAGAAGAGGCCGTATGTATTGATGTGATGACCATTTGTGACCATTTTTTATTAACTAATGTTTATGTCTTTTTTATCAACAGATTTTCGATCCGACGATGAAGAAGAAGAAGAAGTCGAAGAAACCCTTCGACATGAGTGTCCTCGAGGGTAACGACGGCGAGAAAAAGGAAACTCAGGAAATTAAAGACACGGAACAGTCTAACAATGACGACAAAGATTTGCAGGATTTAAATGATTTTTCCGGTTTAAAGAAAAAGAAAAAAAATAAAAAGACTTTTAATTTAGAAGATCTCGAGAATGCATTGCCGGCCGATAAAGAAAATTTAGAGAACGGAAGCAAATCGTTGAGTCCGGCGGACAAAGCGGCTGATAATGAGGCCGATGTTGTCGAAGATGATCTCGACTTTGATTTCACGAAAAAGAAAAAGAAGAAGAAGAAAGCCGTCAATTTTGAAGGTTTAGAAAATGCTGACGACGCGGATGGTACCGCTGGTCAAGAGGGAGCAGACAATGTTGACGGCTCTCAAGTTAGTTCATCACTTGTTGGAAACGATTCTTCAAAGAAGTGGTTAGACTCGGATCGTGATTATACTTATGACGAGTTATTAGAAATAGTATTCAATATCATTAAAGAGAAGAACCCAGAGATAGAATCGGGAACTAAGAAGAAGTTTGTTATGAGACCACCACAAGTCTTACGGGTCGGAACTAAGAAGACATCATTTGCCAACTTTTTAGAAATTTGCAAATCGTATGTCTTTTTTGACATTTTTTTCATATATTATATTTATCTAATGATTATTAATATAAATGTGATAATAGACTGCATCGACAGCCCAAACACATGCAGGCCTTCTTATTGACAGAATTAGGCACAAGTGGTTCAGTGGACGCCAACAATCAGCTCATTATTAAGGGTCGGTTCCAACAGAAACAAATAGAAAGTGTTCTCCGAAGATATATTAGTTAGTATTAGTTTAATTTTATTGATTTTTTTTGTATAATTATAAAATGATTTGTTATTAATTAACTAATTTTAATTAATTGTAACCATTTTGCAGAGGAATACGTTGCGTGTCAGACGTGTCGATCACCTGAGACTATCCTCCAGAAGGAGACCCGACTCTTTTTCCTTCAGTGCGAAACATGTGGTTCTCGACGATCGGTCACTAATATCAAGAGTGGATTCCAAGCCGTCACAGGAAAGAGAGCCGCCATCAGAGCGAAGACAACTTAAGCACTCATTAATAACTGATTTTAATTCAATTGATATGTATTTCTGTTATTTATATTTGTATTGCAAACTAATTAGTAAAAATAACATTGAATTTAAAAACATTTTTTTGTTGAATTTTGAATCATTTTTTATATATTTATTAATTTAATTTAATACAAATATAATTTTAATTACTATATTTGAGTTTAATTTGTTAAATATACAAAACAATATAAATGTCGACAAAATTTTTATAAATAAGAAATTATTTATTACCTATAATTCAATAAATATAACAATAATCTGAAATTTTTAATAATCAAAATATGTTTGATTTATGTAATATTTTATAAAAATAGATTGTTATTTCTAAACATTAGATGAAATTTAATTAGTTATACATTATATATTAATAGTAATCAATTGATAAGATTTAGATTAATTTATTAAATATTAGTTATTAAACATTGTTTTAATAGTAATTTCAAAATTGTCGCCAAAATTGAATGATTTGAATGAAAGCCAATGGGAATCACCAGTCAATCAATCGTTGGCCACAAAAATAACGTATAATTTGTGACAACTATTGGCTGTTTACTAGAGATGCAAAATTCAGGTGAATTTATTTTTAAGTTGAATATTCATTTGAAAATTAATTCAATTAAAAATCGATGATTATTTGATGATATTTTATTAAATTAAAAAACATTTAAAAACCTGAAATTTATATATGTTTTAATCTAATTTAAAGTTTGACCCCAGAGTGCGCTACAAACAACTGAATTAATTTATTTTGAAACTCTTCAATATTTGTCTGAATTTATGTGAATATTCAAAATTTTCTATCGCTTACATCACTACTGTTTTGACTGTTTTTGTGTTAACTTTTGGCGCTGTTTTGCACTAAAAAACAATCACTTGATTTGATTTGCAATTGATTTTGTTATTGAAGTGAGGTTTGACTTATTGTGACACCAATTGTGGTGATACTCGCCGTCGTTAACAATGAACCAAACGATGAATTTGTTTTACAATAAAAGAGTTAACCGAAAGAAGATCCGATCGGTTCTCACAACCACTCAAAGGCTCGACAGTGAAAAGCAAAAGGTTTTTGAAACCATGAAACACGACTTCTTTGCCCATCTGTCAGACAGACAGTGCGATATCGTTGACAGACAAAGATGTACCATATCTGCCATTCGCAAGCAATTCAAAGGCATATTATCACAAATACCATCGAATCTGCAGAATATGACAATCGAAGAAATCGTTGAAAAGGGCGGATCTATTGATCTAATTGATGATGAATACATTGTTAAGACATTTGCCATTCGTATCCCTAAAACGGTCGCCAACGCCAACAAAGATTTGTCTTCACAGTTGATGTCACATAACAAGTCCAATGAGTCCAATGCTCTTCAAAGAATAGCCATTACGAAGAATACGGTGACTAAAAAGGCAAATACGGCTGCGAAGGAAAATACTACTACAACTTCTTCGCGAATTATCACCAGAAGTGCTCTTAAGGGATGCAATGTTCGCGAAGTGATGACCACCTCTGGTCGCGACAGAATGACTCACAACTCAAACATCAAAAACAATCTGAAGGCCAACAACAACAACAATAAGACCAAAAGTGACAGCAAAATGACTGATAAGATAATGAGTTCTTTACCGCATATGAAACCTCCCCGAAGGCCGCAATCTAATGAAGAAATGATTACCCTTTGCTTTTCATCGGCCGGTACTCCGCTTATTGTCGACCAGAAAACTATTGAGCGAATCAATACAACAACAACAACGAAGTGATTTTGGATCAGCTCTTGTTTGTATTTAAAGATAATTTATATGAAGAAAGAAAAAACAAAAGATATTTAAATTGTATTTGTCTTTTAAATTGTCATTTGATTACTATCTTAAAGAAAAAAGTTTGTCTTTTATTAATATAGTTTTAATTTTATAAAATCAATATATAATTTCTTAATAAATAATTCTTAAATAAATAAAATATACATTCATTTATTAAATTTGTATTATTTATTATTAGTTATATAATAAGTCTTATGAGTGGACATTATATTGAAGAAAGAGATTAGAAATGGTATTAATTTGATATAAAAATAAGTGTCAAAACAATTTGTTTTAATGATATTGTAATTAATTAAAGTAAAAGTATAGAGAGGTGTTGGGTCTACTATAAGCCCCATTGTGTTAACATAACACAAATGTTATGTCACTCGCATTATCTATATATATATACAGTATATGTAGAGGACTGGTATTGTCTGCAAACAGGTTACCATCAGCTCTGGCCATAAGACCTTCTCAGCCGAATATGATAACTGTTTTCAAACTTAAACGGATTGAAAATCGCCGACACTTTCTGCCACAAGTCCGGGGACTTTCCCCAAAGCACTGGGAATTACTGGGAATTCGTTCGTTGCTTTGAATGCGAGTCATAGCCCACACCTACCGGAGCTACTCTAACACAGTGCTTATATACCGCACATTACAATCACTTTATGTGTATTACAGTATCTAATTTGTGTTTAATTATTAAGGCACTACTTATTGTCGATTAAGTGATCATTTTAATCAATTAAATTGATTTTTATAATTATTTTCATCAATTTTTATATGAAATTACTTTGAATATCAAGTTATTAAAATAAATTAAAACAATATATAGTGTTAACAATATTTCAAAATTTTTGATGTCTATTGAAAAATTATTACATAAATAAATAAATATATATATATTATATTATATCTGTATATTATATATAAGATTGTCAAATGAAAATTTTGTGTTTTTGGTAACATAAAAACAAAATAATATATAAATTATTTGAAGCGTGTATTGTATGATTATTATATGACTGCAATATACTGTATATTATGGCATCGGTGTGTTTTGGTGTAGTGTCCCTCAATCACGCCATCACACGACATATAGGGACTGATTGGAAACGGCATATACTGTATATTTAAAGGCCATACAGAATATTCTGAATAATATTTCATTTATTAAGCGATTCAACACAAATGTTATGCATTTTCTTTTCTCTGGTTATTATTATGTCTCTTATTTTAAGCATATAATTCATTTCATTGATTATAATGCAATGTAATTATAGCTTTCAGTATTGATAAGCTATTCATGTATTGTAGTGGACGGTTGTATTGACGCCCCAAACGCAGGTGACGTGAATGGCAAACACATCGATAGTGAGACACATAGTATTTGTTCCCAAAAATTATATGTAATTTTTATATCACATACACAACATTGAATGAGAGCACACAATATAATACACTATTATTGATCCTCTTATTGTTGCGGACGTGTGGATCGGCACATGTAGCCAACACATACATTACTTTAGTCATCCAACAAAAAATATGGCATTTTATTCAACTTATTTATTATATTTAGTTTTTTTATTCAATTTTGTTACGAAAGTATTATTTGCAAAATGTATTAAAAAACTCTACAATTGTTTGTCAGTCTCGGGCAACACTTGTATGCATTTATATAGAGAGAAATGCATAAACAAAATTGCTTTACACTTCAGTCAATTGGCTTCAATAGCATTACCAGCTTATGGTCACCTATAGTATATCAATGGTAGTCATGGCTATGACTAGGCTTTACCAGTATATATCAATATAAATCCTTTGGTACTGATCATCAAACTTTGAATACACTTTCAAATCGATTTTTTTTTTACTTAATCGACATATAAATTGAAATATTCAGAGTAATTGTTTGTTAAAATCTATTATATTAATTCTATATTTTTATTTATTAATAAAAAAAATATTTAGTCTATATTTTTTGTAGTTATGAATTTTTATTACATTAATCATATAAAACACATACTATATTTATTTATATATAACAATAATGTACATATATATATGTATATAAACTCTTATATGGCATGCAATATAAAGTGTGATACAAATTTGGTTATTTGTCCTTAATTTTTGAAGTGAATTGAATGCGAAATACAAACAAATTTATGTATGAAAATAAAACAATATCATGCTATGCTATATATGTGTATAAATATTATAACATAAGACAAAAAATATATTAAACAAAATCTAAATCTAAATGAAAAAATAGATTTATAGCGTGTGTTTGCTCTCCAATGATTTCAATTCAATTTATGACTAACACAACGCTCACAAAACACAAGTCAAAGTGTTTTTTATGCATACGTTTGCTATGCTTTGCAATACTATACTTATAGACTATATATACGTACATAAAACAGAATATTTCTGTAAATTAAAAATGCAATGCATTTTAAAATATGTATACTTTGAATATATCTTTATATTCTACAGTTAAATATATACTACAGTAGTGTATAATAAATGATACAAAAAAAATATTATATATATATTATTAATAACTACAATATTTATAAATTATTGTTTTCATATATTCAATAAACAATAAAAATCGTTTGCATTTTTTATTTGGTTCATTAATGCAAATGAAATAATAAGTTTAATTTAAATAATTATTATTTGTATAATTTTCATAATATGTTACATATGGCATATTATAATTATAAATAAAAAAAATACTTTAAGAAAAATATACATAATTAGTGAGTATATATATAGTACAGTATATATAAGTATAAATTATCTCATAAATATAATTTATTGCAATAAAAACATATCATGATATTATGTACAGTATTATTGTTAGTAATATTAACATTAAAACAATGAGATGAGCCTCAAGTTGTAAGGCCTGTTGAGTGTATAGACGGCACACAATTAGCTAATTTAATATTATATTTATTATTGTTATCGCAACAAAACTGAATATAAAATTTTTTAGATAATGCAATATATGTAAAATTTTATTATATAATTATATGATATCTAAGTTATAATTTATGCCATATTTTTATATAAGTTTGCAAATGCAACCAACAATTGCTTTATAATAATAATACTTTATAAGTGAATCGATACAACAAATTGTCAAATCAAATAATAGCAATCAATAGTTTTGCAACAAAAACTTATTGAGATTTTCTCGCATAAAATAGATTTATTTCAATACATATTAAATGGGTT